GAACACTCCGACTTGTGATTGAACGCCATCCGCGGATTGAACAAGGCAGGTCCGATTGATCGTCATTGAGCGGACCGCGATTGAACGCCGGCAGCGCCCGATTGAACGCATAGCGCCCGATTGAGTATACAGCAGACAACCTTGCGGCTTAATCACTCCGATTTGCGATTGAACACTCTCCGCGGATTGAACAAAGCAGGTCCGATTGATCGTCATTGAGCGGACCGCGATTGAACACCGGCAAACGCGTTTGAAAGCACTCGACCAAGAACGACGCTCAAACAGATCGCTTGCGGATCGATCACTACGGCTTGCAATTGAACACCTCCGCGGATCGAACAATGCAGGTCTGATTGATCGTCATTGAGCGGACCGCGATTGAATATAATGCCCGCAACGCGTCGACCACGATCCACTCTGCGGGCATTCAGCGGATCGGCATTGGAAGCCCGATGTCTCGAACGAGACGACAAGCGCGAATGGCGGCATGTAGGAGTGGGGCGCTCGCTGGCGCAAAGGTAAGTCTTCGGTACATCCGCGAAGAGGGCTTTCCCTGGATGCATGCGCTCAGAAGCGGCTTCCCTCTCACTAGCCCGGGACATAGGTAGTGGGCGGAAGCGAGCAGAGTCCTAACAAGGGACGGGATGACGAAGAAAGGAAGATGGAGAACAGCGAGGGCGATGGCGAAGCGCCCGTTGATTCGAGAACGCCACGTGCGCGATCCGTCATGAGGCCGCTCGAGGTTCGACTTCAACTACCACCACCGTCGCTTCCTCCTCCTCCCCCTCCACCACCTTCGGTTCATTGTGCCCTCATGCCAATGCCTATACGCAGGCATTCTCAAAGATGAACCTGGGGGGAGAAATCCTCGCGCACGCGCGCTTGTGGCCTGATAGTGCCACGTGCGTCATATTGTGGGTACGCCTCGAGTTCATACACTTTTTATATCTATTCATCGTAGTACGCAGCCATTCCTTGCAGCGAGCCGGAGAGTCAGCGCGGCGCATGTATGCGCGTTCAAGTGTTGCGCCGTATGTGCGCGAGCTTCAGTCCCTCGTCAGGTGTGTCATCGAATACGCCCGTCGCCTCCGGTGCGCGCGCTGACTCTGCTCTCGGCCAGATAATCATCCGTGTGCACCTATATTATTACAGGTGAGCTTCATGCCTGGATTGTTTCGGCCTTTGCTCACATTTGTAGGACATTTGCTAAGGGCTCTGTACAGCGGTGTTGTTCCTCACTCAGGAAGTCCCGTATTGTGTCTGTGATTCATCTGCCTCACAATAGTCACTAGCTTGCGGATGCCTATATTTTGGGTTGGTCTCCGTTGATGACCAGCTTGTCGGGGAGTTGAAGGGGAGGGATCTTGTGTAGAGTTTTCGGCCCTCATCATGTTTATTTTATTACCTATAGAGTGACTCAATAGAATGACACTTATTTATGTGTTTGTGTGCTGTAATACCTGTAGCGCTCGTTAGTGCATGATCATAGTGGGTGTTTAGTGGGCCCTCGTTGACCATTCGCTGAGCTCGACAAGTGTTTGCCGAGGATCGTTCGGCTCTAAATCACTACTAAGGTGGTCTCTACGAATGCGGTCAAGGACTCTTCAGTGGTGGTGGTTTTCCAGAGCATGCGGTGTGTTCGAATGCGCCTAACCAAGTTTCGAACAGTCAACGCCCGATTGACCACATACCGCCCGATTCAATGCCAACGTGTGATTGAATACACACCGCCCGATTGAGTACTCAGAGTATTGTATACCCGGTTGCGGATCAAATGCGGTGCCTCGGATTTAACACTCCGCAACTTGACATCATCAATCACTGTTCAATCAGATTGGAGGAGCCTGAGGCTAGGCTAGAGCCTGAGACAATATTTGACATGCTCCCCATCCACGTACAGTACACACTTATCTGGTGAGTGCTCATTGGCTTATTCCAGACTTTCTATTAATTCACAGGAAAGCCTATGCGATCCTTGTCACAATGGCCGCTTTGTTGGCGGATTATCAAATCAACGTTATGACTGATGGGCGATTATCAAACCCGCGCCAACCACGGCTGCGACATTCTGCTCACCCTGCCCATAGGCATAGCAAACATCGTCTTATCCATGAAAGATGTATCGTCTCAACTCGGCTACATCCCGTTCTACTTCGGCTGGACCTACGACCACATAGAGTGGCAACCAGTAGGTTATTCTTACGCAGTGATCACCTTGAATAATTCATCTGGCGCGGCACAACTGTACTTCTCTATATGGACAGCCCCATTTCTGAGCTTTGTGATCTTCAGTCTCTTCGGTCTTACACCAGAAGCCTGTGCGTCGTACCAGCAGGTCATCCGCACGATCGGTGGCTGGTTTGGCTGTCAGCTGGTTCCTCACACGCGCAGGGCGCGTTCGCCTCTCGGCGACATCGAGTTTGGCGAGCGGCCTCCTCTCGACTCTCTGTCGCTAGGGATCGAGTGCGTTGTATCACCTTCTTCTCTTGGCGCTCGGCTAACTAGAAAGCATAGGACAAATGCAAGCTTCATCAACTCTGAGGTCCGCGGACAAAGTGTAGAGGTCGTAGGCGCTGAGAACGGCATCGAAAGTGGGCATGACTCTGACAAGAACAAGAACGAGGAATCACCCCGTTCAGTTCCAGAAGAAGCGGCGTACGTAGCCTTCCAATTCGCTGTGTGCCGAACTGAACTTGATGCGTCACGTAGATATCCAACTGAAGAGCGCCCGACGCAGCTTTCTGGGTCCCACGATGCTGCCTCTGGCAATGCTTCGGTCATGGTGTGAAGGGACCTGTACGCCCTCGTCCGATGCTGCTGTGGTTTCTCCAAAACGTCTTTCCATATCATCATCTTAGTCTTCCTTCGTCAGCTATGTACGCCAGTTTTCGAATTCCTCAATTCCAGTCTGTCGAAACCGGTACATCATGTCACTGGTGTGTAGTACATACATAGACGATGATATCGCGGTACGAATTTTGTGGCGTGATGCGTACTGGGATGGGGATTCGGAAGGAAGGGTATTTGTGCCTTGAATGAAATGTCCACCCGTCGCAGTGTATGATGCTGCATCGCGTCGACCTGGGATGCAGATCGTTAGCACACAGGCAAGGGCATTTGAACTTGGACAACGCGCTGACTTACCTACATCATTCACAACTGCTGTCCTCGTGTGTACATGCCATCAGCGGCACTAGCCTCCTCCCGTTCGTTCCGGCGAACATCAACATCCTTTGAAGGATGGCCGTTCGGAGCAGCGTGAGGTCGGATGCCACGTTCTCAGCGGAGTTCGCGCGTGCAGCCCGGCCGAGCGCTTATGCGCTCCGCAGCGCGCTACACTTCACGTATGTACGTGGTCGTGCGTAGGATACTGGTCGACTGAAGAGATATCGAGGTCGAGACGGCGAATTTGGGAGTGCCTTTGAGGTACGGTGGAGGATCGTCCCGGGGAAGTACGCTTTCTCGTCCGTCGCTCGCCAGGCAGCGCGATTTCGTGTGCTCCATATAATTCATATAGGCATTTTCAGCGGCCAGTATGAGTTCCGCAACGTTCGCCTCCCGCCTGCACCATAGCCGACCTATCGTACGTCGCGACTCCGAACACGCTCTGGAGTTGGGCGCCATCGACGTATACGTAAGACGCGGATGTGCTTTTGGAAGCGGAGGCGGAGAAGTGGGGGATGATCGATGATCCCATGACGATGGAGGGGCGTTCAGTTGTACGTCACCCATCCTGAGCGAAGATGCCTCGCGGAGCCCAAGTTGTGACTTGTCCTTTGTTGATGTCACGGCTCGATGTAGTCGCCAGCCGGAAGATGTCGTTCATGGTGCTCCCTGCTACTGCACAGCGATGAGCACAGTTCAAAGAATGAGAAGAGATGAACATGCCTGATTATTCACCTCGTGAACGCATCGGTTGCCCTTTCCGAGCCTTGGCGGTGCGCATCTGGCTAGACTGGCCCTGACCATCGCGCGCAAGTCCGCGACTCATAAGTTATTGATATTCGACCTCCCCGCCCTCGGCCGAGTCAGCTACTGTTTGGCTTCCCTCGCGCGCATCCCCGTCTCAATTTAGCGTCGCCGCGCCATATTTCGGGTGCAATGGGTTGGGTGGTACGATGAGAGGCCAACGGGTGAAGGTGGAGGTAGGCCGGAAGGCCGAGCGTGAGGCCCGCGGCGCTATCGCTGTTCGTGCTGGCCGGCGACTTGCCCTCGTCGTTGGACTCAACGAGCACGGCATAAGAGCTCCGCGGGCTACGGCGAGGGGTGAAGCAGGCCACGTTGAATTGTGCCGCGTCGTGAGGGAGGACGAGTCTGATGTTGCGTGCTACCGGGGTCGAGTGGGCGCGTATCCCTTGCAATGCAGTTATCGAGTAGGGGTAGAGTAGATAGACAAAAAGAGCCATTTAGATGAAGACTGACAGCAGTATACGGAAGCCATCGTAGCTCTTCGGGAACATCGTGCATGGCGAAGCCCTAAACCAAAACGAACGCGCAAAGCCAAGGTCGGCTTATTGATCCGCGCCGCCGCGCCGATTCCGAGTGTTCCGAACCCAAGACGCCACATCTCGCTTTCTGCCACCAACCGCCATGATGATCTTCAAGGCGAGACGCCGTTGTACTTTGGCCCACCCTGCGCGCGCCGCGCGTACAAGTTATGAAACTGTGACATGTACTTCGATTGTAAGGGTCGAGTTCTCTACCATATGGCTCAGCCTATGGCAACTGTGTTGACCGTGAGCCTACGGGCGCCCCTAAGACCAAGGCTAGTGCCAGGGCGCTAATGTCATCGACTACTGCCATAGGGTCCTCAATGGGTTTCATCGAGCGGAATTAGGCTCTCAGGCCCGGGGATAAAAGAATACTCTCGTGGTTCGCGTTCCACCGGTGTCGCAGCCCACGCCAGTCAAAGCCCGCCGCATCATTCTCGCCACTGCATCATCCCTTCCTATGATCACCTTTCGTCTTGCTCACTGGGTGTGGCACCTGCGCCTCCCGCTGATTGAATAGGTTCCCCGTGTTTGAATCTCCCAGAAGACCATGCTCATATAAGTAAGGCGTGGTGCCGAAGGACGCACGTCCTCGCACGCGCTTCGCGATCTGCACCATGGCTGCCGTTGACCCAACTTACCCGCTCTACCCCACAGGCTGCATCCTGGCCTCAGCGATGCTGCTCTTAGTACTCCTAACCAGCTTCGTCCGTCAAAGCTGGAACTTCGGCGTCGCGTTCTTGTGCTTTTGGCTGTTCGTCGAGACTCTGATAGAGGGGATCAACGCTATCATATGGTCCGACAATGCCGATATCAAGCTCTACGTGTATTGCGACATCAGTCAGTATGCTCTACACGAGAAGATATCAAAGACAGTCACGAACGTTGGATATGCTAGTCTCGCACGTACAGATGTTCGCCTCGGTCGTCAAACCTATGGCGACTTTGATCATCATGCGTCGGCTGTACCTGATCACTAGTCTACAGTCCGTCAAGCTGCCGAGTAAGGCTGAAGTACGTTGGGTCGCTTGCATACCCCATTCTTCTGCACTCAAACAGGATCCTACAGAAACGAAGAGACCTCGCGGTGGAGTGGATACTTGGCCTGGTGATCCCTCTCATCATTGCAGGGCCTCTGTGTAAGTCCTCATGATGTGCGGACACTGCTCCAAACGCGCGCTCACGTCCTGCTAGACTATGTGGTCCAGCCACACCGGTTCGAAGTTGACGAAGGCTTGGGATGTACCAACTCCACCGACGGATCGATACTGTCTATTCTGTTGCTGTATTCGTGGTCCGTGATCCTCCCGATGATATCAATCACAGTCTACTACCGTGCGTTACCTACATCCGCGCCTGAGGCTGGCACCTAACATACGCGCCTACTACATAGCTCGCGTCGCCCTGATCTTCTACCGCCAAAACCGAGACATCAACCGCTTTCTCCATAGCAACCACTCCGTATCCCGCACCAACTACCTCCGCATCCTCGCCCTCGCCCACATCGACATCCTCTTCACCTTACCCATAGGCATCGCGAACATCGTCCTCTCTGTGCGATGGTTCTCGTCGCTGTACGGGTCACTTCCGTTCTACTTTGGGTGGACACAGGACCATAGCGATTGGGAGCCGGTGAGCATCCCGTATACGGTGCTGGTGGCGGCAGGACCTTCTGGCGCGGCCGAGTACTACGTCATACAATGGTTGTCCCCTGTGCTTGCGTTTGCCATCTTCGGCCTTTTCGGCCTCACGTCGGAAGCTCGCGCGTCGTACTGGAGCATCATATGCGTCATTGGGACGTTGTTCGGGCTCGGACCAATGCAGCGCAGAGAGGATCCACCGTTGAGAGATATGGAGTTCGGCCATGCAGGTCCTTTGTCGCTAGGTTTTGAGACGAAAGAGGATGCAGTATGCGGGACGCGCGAGAGGAGAGGTTCTGACTCAGACGAAGGCGAAATCGAAGAAGCTCGTCGTACTTCAAGCGATACACCGTGCGTGCTCTCACTCTTGTGCCTGCCCGTTCCCCAACTCACCGAGAGCATCGCATAGGCATGCCGGCCATCATTCTCCGAACCGCGAGGCATTCCGTGTGAAGACCGTCGGTGCGTCGGGAGTAGCGTAGATGTATCGACGCACGTCTGTATGTACCGGGTCCGATGCTATGGGACAACCCGAGTCGAGAGTATATGTGCTACGATATGATTGGTAGATCCGTGAGTCTTGCGCGTTCTCGCTCGAGGCGTACTTTGTCATGGGCTTGTCCTGCGTCACAAAAAGCATATATATTGCATTGTTGGTATATAGATACAGGCATGTCGATACTGTGTTACTGAGCTGTACTAAGAGCGAGGACGAAGGGACGCCGTATCCAGTCGGGCGTCTGGGGTCCCAGCGTGTGCTAACGTCGAGGCCGTACACCTGCGCGACTCGTATAAGCGCTGAAGATGGTTTAGCTCTTCCATCCGCAGTAAACGGGAATGAGTCAATCATGAAAAAGCAAGGCAGAATGTGGAAGCGACGCGTACATGACGGCGCATCTCAGTCTGCACGCGTGCGCGACCTTCATGCTCCTGCTACAATAGCATCAGCGAAGAAGTGACCCAAAAACTTCAGACGCACCCCACCCACAAGTCCAGTGGGCATCGGCATCTATGCGTCCTGCGACCTATTCGGGACTCGGGGGTGGCAGTCGGCATAGCCCGTCGCCTGAGGCCGACCGAAGTTGCGATTGCTCGAGGTCACGGATGTGGGGGTCCCGTCATGGGCAGTGCCGCGCGCGGCTGTCTTTACGACTCTGAGCGACTGGGCTGGTGATGAGTGGTCGCGAGCGTGCGGAAAGCCGATGCAGGAGAGGTGGCGCTAAGAGCTGGTCATCTTCGTTGGTCACGGTGGTGAGTGTCGAGGTCGACTGTATTAGTTGTGTATTGAGATCACCCACCAGCGCGGCCAGGGTGCCAACCTCCTCTTCTCCATCTCAACTCTTCATCGCCTATTCACGCTCGCGTCTCTCCGGCCAGTATCCTTTCCATATTGGTAGTCGCGTCCGCTCCTGCGTTGCGCGACGACGAAGTAATGGCATAAGAGCACGTGAGTGTTCAAGCTCCTGCGCTATACGGAAACGGGGGTGTCCTTCGCTTGCGGTAGGAAAGTCGCGGCAGGCCTGTCGAAAGCGATGGGTATAATTGAGGTCGATAGCATCGAAGAGCACGAGACAGGCAGAGCAATCATCATCGTGGTTATGGTCGTCGTTATCAGTGGTGGTGGCAATGGAGGGGAGTGTCAAGGAGAAGCAGGGTCCCGAGGTCCTCATTGGGGCGCGCTGCAGAGGAGACGATCTTCTCACCCACCACCACCACTCCCGACACTCTGCAATGAGAATCACCTTTTGATATCGCCGTTGGTGTATGCTCTGTGCGCCAGGCGCTTCTGGATGTGCAAAATCCTGTGTCGGATTATTGGTCGCACTAAGACATCCGCGCAGCATGTCAGGTATAAACTTGGCGTTGTTGCCCCTTCAGACTACTGAGACAGAAAGATGGGCATCTTATCCGAAGCATATGCGCAGTACGTTCTGTGTGCTATTTGATCTTCTTTGAATGTGCTGATGGCTGTATCATGTAGGTATCCAACAGTATGAAGCCCAATAGCGAAGTAACCCTACCTCAGTAGGCATCTTTCGGGCCGAATGACACACCATCGCCTTCTCAGCCTTCCGCGCGCCTGGGGTGGAGGTACTTCTTCCAACCGCAGTAGGCGCTACCGATTCGGTCTACGACAGCGAGTACACTGTGCATCTCATTCATGAATTTGACCAGTGCTGGTCCTCGCATACGACTTGGTGTCCTCCCCTCAGGGCTGTGCGACTCGTAGTTCTCTCGTCTGGCACTACCCATGATGAGAACTGGGCGGGCAGTCGGCCATGGATGCAAGAGCTCAGTGCATGCACTGCTAACCTTATCTTGATATTAGATCCGCATGCACGTAGCAGAAAGAAGTTATCGAACCTTGCAGATTGACATGTTGTCAAGTTTCAGGACACTGTCTATGCTCTTCCTGGTTACTGGTGCTCAAGAATGTCGTTCGCATACAATAGTAGCCTCAGGCAGTGATGTACTCAATGGGATTACGAGTGGATCAGGTGCGATGCGTGCATATGTCTGCGGTCCAACGCAGGCACTCGCTGATCTTCTTTCTTCATCTAAAGAACAGGGCATATATAGGAGCGGGTCCGTCGACGCTTCTGCGCAAACACGATGGCAGCCGCTGACCCAACATACCCTCTCTACCCCGCGTCTTGTTTCCTGGCTTCGATCATGCTGCTCCTCGTACTACTAACAAGCTTCATTCGACAGAGCTGGAATGTTGGTGTCGCTTTCTTGTGTTTCTGGCTCTTTTGGGAGAACCTTGCTCTAGGTATAAACGCTACTGTATGGTCCGACACTGGAGACATCAAGCTATACGTGTATTGCGACATAGGTCAGTATATTATGATATCGCCTACTCAAAGCTTGCAGATCCATCTGACTACCGATCCTACTAGCCACGCACGTGCAGATGATCGCCTCCGTTGTCAAGCCTATGACAACACTGATTATCAGCCGCCGACTATACTTGATCACCAGCCTACGCTCTTTGGAACCTACCACGAAAGCAGCAGTGAGTCACAATTCACGATTTATATTCTTACAATTCTGATTGCAGCACCAGAGACGCAGAGACCTCACGATAGAGTGGACACTCGGTTTGGGGATCCCACTCCTTGTTGCAGGACCCCTCTGTGAGTCACGTCTGCAAGTTTGAAGCCGCCATGCATGCTTAGCCTTGCGTCTGAAGACTACATAGTTCAGTCGTATCGATTTCAGGTTACGGAAGGCTTTGGCTGCAACAACTCTATCGACGGCTCGATACTCAGTATCTTGCTCGTTTTCTCCTGGAATGTGGTGCCCCCTCTTATTTCGATCACGATCTATTATCGTGCGTCAGATTACTCTCCTACAATCCCTTCTTGATGATATCATTGTCACTCATGCCCAATACTCCAGCTCGTGTTGCCCGAACTCTCTATCGCCATAATCAAGCGGTCAATCAATTCCTTCACAGCAACGGCTCAGTATCTCGCACAAACTATTTTCGCATCATTGTTCTCGCCAGTACTCATATTCTGGTCACCTTACCCATCGGCATCGCGACTATCTCCTTGACGGTGATGGACCAGTTGACTGAGTTCGGTTACCTCCCTTTCGACGCAGGTTGGAGCTACGACCACGATGACTGGCAGCCGGAGAGTGATACCTATGCAGATGTCCTGGCGGATGGGACGTTACACGTAGTGCAGTTCTACTTTATCGAATGGATGTCACCCATACTCGCCCTCGCCATCTTCGGCCTTTTTGGTGCCACCTCAGAGGCCCGCACATCGTACTGGCGTGTCATTTGCAGAGTCGGCCATTGGTTTGGCTGGGAACCAACACCTCGTACGAGGAGGGCGCGTTCACCGCCAGATGACATCGTGTTTGATGTGAGGCCACCGCAGAACTCGATGTCACTTGGTCTCGAGTGCGTCCACATTTCAATCGAAGGAGCCTTGCTGATGCCAAGGAGCAGATCGCTGCCGAGCTTCATCAACCCGAACGCGCGCATACAGGTTGCAGGATCGCTTACTGAGAACACAGATGGACGTGAGATTGATGAGGTACATACTGCAGGCCCAGATCCAGATGAGATAGAAGTAGCACATCAAGTCTCTGACGATGCAAGGTGCGCATCTTCCTGTCCGTTGTCTAACTCCGAAGATGCTCATCGCGGCCACTACACAGGCACACAGGCCACTAGTGCAATGACGAGGGTGAGGATGGGCGCGCTGGAGTCTTCGATGCGTCAGACGCGGTCTAGTCCGACCCTTGCTTCTGTATAGACTTCCGCATAGATTCGAACATGGCATGACCTGCCACAGCGTATGGTTTCAAGACTTGTTGCTTCTCTCATATTGTGTACCGCATAGTAAAGAGACTTGTTTCGGCTTCGAAATCTGCATATATCGTAATGCTACGTACATGCAGGGTCGTGGTATCGTACTGCAAAGCTTGGCGTAGATACTGACCGCATAGCCAATTGACCTATGTGGACAGTAGTCAGCATTTGGGCAGATATGCAGAGACAAGAAAGGCGTACATAGGTCGGCTGCGACTCTTCGTATCTGTCGGAACACCGCGGGCCGCTGCAACCCCGTCCCGCGCGCCTCTACTGAGAATCTTGCCACTAGCATACTCATACACGTATTGTTCGCCGGCCCATATGTCCACCGCCATCCGTAGTTTGCTTGTTTCGTCTCTCCAGTCCTCTTTGAGGTAGTTAGCGCGTAGTAGGTGTTCATGTTGACCGTTGAGCCCTAGGTTGGTCGCATCTTGGGAAGGAGGAGCAGGCGCGGGCGCGGTTTTACAGGAGTAGAAACATTGTGAGGTTACTCTTGAGCAAGTCGACGAGCGTGGCTGTTGGTCAGATGTCGATGGGTAAACAGCGGCCAGTTTCTGCCGCATTGTAGAGGTCCTCGTTTACTATCGGGTACCGCCGGATGTGTCCATCGACGGAGCCTCAGTAGGTCTGGACGCCCCGTCAACGCATCCCCTACCAGGACAGACATGATGAGCATAGCACTTAGAAAAGCCGAATGAAGATATCCGTACCTGCGTCCCTCCAAACGCCTGACGTCAATGACTTTCCAAGAACGGCGGCGGCGAGCAGTGGGCGAGGAGTTCAGGTTGTGGAGACAGCGCCATTCCGTACATCGTCATCGTGGTTGCATAGAAACGCCTGCGGCGGCCCGACTGCCGAATCTGACTCCCACGATCGTCAACGTCCCTTCACCTGCGTAAACTCCTTCTGCCGACGACCACCATGCTGTGCGGAGACAGGTTCTCCCTCTCGTCGCCTTACAAGTTGCAATATCAGATACCTATGGCTATTACTTTCACCCGAGCCCATCCGCTTCTCATCGGACTACATGCGAAGGCTATGCGCCTTCCACCCTTGCACGAACCCCCGTTTATTGATTGAGAAGCCCCGCGCTTCTCGCACCGCTTACTGTCTCCCAACGCTTCTCGAACAATTGTCTCGTTATGGTATTCCATAGATGCTCCTCGCTGGATCTCAGGCATACGCTCGTTGCCGGATGTACCAGCTGGAAGTGCTACACAGGCGTTGAATCATGCGCACCTCGGTCAATGCTTCTCACTGGCGTGTGAGTGGGTGTGTACGTAGTCCTCCCCACTATCGCGACTTCTATCTGACCTAGTTCTCCAGTTGTATGCGTACGCGATGATGCCTTTCTCCTCCGATTAGCCAAAGGATAGGGGAGGGACGGCTCACAAGTCTGGTGCGCGTGCGTCTTATTTTACTGTTACTCGAGTGCTGATAGGTAATTGTACGACAGGTTCAGAATATCGATATGACTTTACCTAGTTTACCCAAGTTGAATACCAACCCCTAGGTCTCAGAGTCGGTAGAATCTCCGGATGAAGCGAATGGAGACGGCGCAAATGACCGATTCAATCGAATTCATACGTGCCGTCTATCACCGAAGCGTCTTTTCATCAGGGTACCATCAAGGTCTGTGCAACGCTCATTCACTTGTAGAAGCTATCTCTTCCGAGAGCGCGTGTCTGGCCAGCGAGGCCAACGCCACAGTTCTCGACTGAGAAGGCACCGGACGCGATAGATGCCATGGACGCGCCACGCATTCGATATCAATGTGGCTCAGAGCCTTGCCCTGCTCGCACGCGCACTTCTCATCATGACCTTTGTCGGTCGGGAACGTATTGCCAGTAGTCTTCGCTACTACTAGAATCATATATATATATATTCACATTTACTTGCAGAGAGCACCTCAAAGAGCATCTTTCTCTACACCATGACCGCGGCCGACCCGACCTACCCCCTTTACCCATTTGCCTGCGTCTTGGGTGCGACAGTGTTGCTCTTCGTGCTGCTGACGAGCTTTGTCCGACAGAGCTGGAACCTTGGCGTCGCATTCTTGTGTTTCTGGCTCTTCTGGGAAAATGTTACATTGGCAATCAATGCTGTCGCCTGGGCTGACAACGGCGACATCAAGATGCACGTGTACTGCGATATCGGTCAGTATATTCGTGGAGAGCTTCTCATTGTGCACAGATCCATCTGACCTCCAATCCTAGTGACGCACGTGCAGTTGCTAACTTCAATCGTCAAACCTATGGCCACCCTCATTATCACCCGCCGACTATACCTGATCACCAGCCTAAGTTCTGTAGAACCTCCTACCAACGCGGGGGTGAGTCATAGTGCATGTCTTACCTTCCAGAGTCCGATTCTGGTATCAGAAACGCGGCGATCTCGCAGCCGAGTGGATACTCGGCTTGGGAATACCTGTTCTCGTTGCGGGGCCTTTGTGTAAGTACGTCTACAGATCAAGAGGCGCCAAGTGTACTGAGTTGTCCTCGAGACTACGTGGTTCAATGGTTTCGATTTGAGGTCATCGAAGGTTTTGGCTGCACCAACTCTATCGATGGCTCGATACTCAGCATCTTGCTCATGCAACCGTGGGCGGTGATCCCTCCCCTGGTGTCCGTCACCTTCTACTATCGTACGTCATATAATGGTCCCATGATCTCGCCAGGCTCATGTTTAGTACTCTAGCTCATATCGTCAGGGTATTCTATCGCCACAGTCGGGATATCAATGACTTTTGTCAGAGTGATGACTCAGTAGCCCGCACGAACTATATGCGCATACTTGCCCTGGCAAGCATCGACGTACTGTTCACCTTACCCATAGGCGCTGTGACAATCGTCTTGAGCGTGAAAGACGCACTGTCTTTCGGTCCCGTTCCATTCTACTACGGCTGGGCTTTCGACCACTCGGACTGGCAACCGGAGAGCATATCCTATGCCAGATTAGTGTCCGAAGGAACCGCCGATACAGCGGCGTTCTACTTCAACCAATGGTCATCGCCTGTTCTCGCATTCGCCATCTTTGCTCTCTTTGGCGTCACATCAGAGGCTCGCGCATCGTACTGGCAGCTCATTGGTACCATTGGCAGACGGTTCGGCTGGAATCCGACACCTCGCACACGCAAGGCACTACCGTCACTGGGAGACATGGAGTTTGGTGAGCGACCCACTCGGAGCGCTGTGTCGTTGAGCCTCGAGTACGCCAATTCGCATATTCACGGGGGCACGACTGACTATGATAAGCCAGGTCGAACCCGAGCTTCATCAATACCAACGCTTGCGCGAGGGATCAGGCCGTAGACATCGTAAACAGGGATGGGAACGACATCAAGACAGGCTCGGAGAAGGACGCGATTGTAGAAGGATGCAAAGCCACTCACGAAGCAACGTACGTAGCTTCCCAATATCGTATGCGTCGAATGGCGTCTGATCTGTCGAGTAGGCAAGCGGACGAAGATGAGCCGGGGCGGCGTCGTGGGTCTTATCAAGTTGACTTGGGCGACGCTTCGGCCATAGTATAAGAAGGCCGAGTTACAACCTCGTTCAAATACGCCTCTGCCGTGGAGCGCTACGATATATGTACAGTGGCAAAGACGATACATATAGTTGTGCAATACTTTGATAAGATGTCCATATGTAAGGAGGACCGTTAGCATGTACGCACGAGTCCAGAAGATTGGGGAGCACGTACGGTTAGAGTGAACCATGCGCCTAGTCCTCTTCCCCCTTGATTCATTCTGCCCACAACATGCCCTGTCGTTGACTGGATAGTTGCTGCTGTACTTGCAGTTCGCACCAAGAGTCATGGTTGCGCGTGATGACAAACACCCTCGCGGATGAGCGAGATCTTTGTGTCTAGGCCGATGGGTGTGTACACAGCATGGCGGTGTACCGAGCGCTGATCTTCTTGCGCATAGTCGTGTCGTGTAACACAAACAGGCCGACGACTGCACCTTCACACCTGGGAACGGTCCGCGAGCATAGCGTATAACAAAACGCATTTTGAACGTTGAACGCGCGATCGCACTTCTGGGCTCCGGGGTCCGTTCGTGTGTTGCGGACGGGAGCCGATGTAGTTGTGCGCCCAACTTGTGCGCCCAACGCCGTCGTGAATCATTCAGCGATGGACCGCGTGGAGGGGTGAGGCACGCGCCGAGTGGCAGAGGCAGGGAGGAAGAAGGGGGATGAGAAGGCTCATTGAACGAGCGAACCTAGCTGCGATCTCGTTGGCCGCAATCTCATGTTGTAACGTGCGCCGTGCTATGCCTGATGAAAAAAAGTATTGGGAAGCAAGGAAGATCTGAAATGCACCTGGAGAGTCCCTCGAGGAGTTTCTAGCCAAGCAAGCCGGCTCGCCTCCGCCCTGTTGCTCCATCGCTGTTCACGGCTTGCAGCCCATCTTGGAGACTCTCTCCAGTCAAGGCACGCATAAGAGATTGATGAGGAAGAGAGGGCGCCGGATCGTGCATCATCGCTGCCGTCCTCTTCATCGTCGGTCGTGGCGGTGAAGAAGCACAAAGCAGGACGCGCAGGCGCGACCGCGATTGCCGATTGACGACACAAGCTGCATGTCGCTCTTTTGCCAGTAACCACCATGACCTACTACCATGATCTTCTTTCTCTTCTCCAAGTATGCAACCTGTGGCGTTCTCTGCCACCGAGCATCCGCTCAAGGTGCCGGGCCAACTGCACGCAATGGGGCGGTTCGACATGCCTTCGAACTACGTCTTTACGCGTTTGCGCATTCTCTCTCTCGAGCCTTCCTTATCTGATTGTCCCGACTTCCTGACGGGTCCGGAATGAGCGGAGGTGGACTTGATTCGGATAGAGAACGTAGAAGATGGATGGCGGATGGTACAATCACTTCACTCGGTGTCGCATGATCTCTACGGCCACATCATACTTACAGTGGGCTATCCACACCAGCCGCTTTGGCCTCTCAATTGCTTTCATCAACGATGTATACGTTCAAGAAGCATGCGGCTGTCCAAACGCCGCCTTGTGACACCATGTCGGAAAACAGTTCCATCATGAACTGTGTGCTATACATTCGGCGTAGTGGCATCCGTGCTGACTGGACGCTGCTTGTCTCATCTCTCCATAGTATCTCGGGAAACAACCAGGGCATCACGAGACCGGTTGGTGACCAATACGACAGACTGGACAGTGCTCGTCAGTATGGTTATCGAGGAGGTCGGGCTGTCAAAGCATACCTGTGGCGGTCCCTCCACGATGAACGTGCTGTGTATCCTCTATAACCAGTACACCTCTCAACTCCGTCGACCAACAAACTCTCACTGATCGTCCACGTGTCCGTGTTCGGTCGAGTCGATAATCGTCTTGACCATAAACATGTGGCGGTCAGACGTGAGTAGTTGGCAGATCAAAGGTCGAATGCCATGGCGACGCGGGATGACGAGGACCCTCGTGGATGAGCGAGAGATATAGTTGCGGCTGGGTAGTGAAGTGCGTATCTGCGACAGTCTGCTGAACTGAAGACTGATTCGCGCGTGGTCGCGTCAGGCATTCGAGCGTGCCGCCAGCTACGCGCGGGCATACAATGTATAGTATGGTCCCAACATAGGAAGAGGTAGCCTTCCACGTCCGGAGCGCGCGTGGGTGAGCGAAGTCGGTCAGAGTCGGTCGGCACTACGCGTCCGCGCCTGGTATTCGCCCATGCGCCAGTTCTGGCACGGAGCCATTCTAGCGTACTAGACCTCTAGAGTAGTTGGAGCGAGATTATTAGACCTGCAGGATTATTAGCACTGCGTGGGTCGGTCTAGGGCAACTCACACACCTGTACATATCCGCCCATACGACTAACGTTCCATGATATTCCTCCTGTCCTAGGTTGCGCGTCCTGCTTATCCTCGCCACAGCACTGTTCGCGCATCATACTAGCTATGATAGATAAGCCGAAGTAATATGGAAGCGAGACAGTTTTTGGACGTACCTGCAGCTCAGCTTGGAGAACGCCTACGTAGTGTCCGCCATAACGTACGGCCAGGCAAGCGGGCCTATCTCGCCAGGTTCCTCGTTGCTCCAGTCTCGTATCGTTCATTCATGCTTGCTGTCTCTGTAAAGGGATACCAGTGGTCACGAGAGCTAGCGTAGAAGGGACGCTGGAGACATCGTGGCCGGAAGTGCGAAGTGACGACGCCCGCAGCGCGTCTCGCGCCGAACGCCCCGACGGCCGAATCTCACGGCCACGACTGGCATCCACCACTTCGAACTCTCTTGCTGCCAGCGACCACCATGAAGTACGAGACTCACGGCGAACCTCAGAATATCAGAGCCTATTCTGCAACCTCCGTCTCCTTAAGCCGAATCGGACTGCATACACTGCGTACATGATGTCCGTGTGCGTGCTGAGCGCTAAACCGACAATACGTCGGCGCTGTCCTTGTCGACGCTTTCCCAAGCGTTCATCGAAGAGACGTCTCGTCCCGGCAGATCCTTGTCTCACTTAGGCGTTACCGCATGATCTCGACGTACTTCTCACACTTACGACACATAGTCCTTGTATTTGGCCGTCTGCAGGTGCTACACAGGCGCCGGATCGTGTGCGCACCTCGGCTAAAGCTCCGCGCAAGCGTATGTAGCTCTTCTGGCCCTCGCGACTACCATCTGACCTACTTCCCCAGCTGTAGGCATACACACTGATGCTATGCGCTTTTGATGCACCAGTGGCTTCCATCCGTTATTCGGGATAATGATGAGATGCAGCTTAGGTGCGCGCGTCCTCTGTTACTGCTTGCTGAGCCGTTACCTGATAAGCGATATAGATCTATGTTCTTGGAGAGTCTGCGCGAGCGCACCTTGTAGTGATATCAATCCACAAGTCGAACGCCAACCCGTACGCTCTTCACAATTGGTAGAGGTCCGCCAATGTATGATGTGACAAATGGCTCTGGTGGGCGGCAATACAACTGTGCGCTTCGTCCATCATCGGCGCGCCATTCTATGAAACTGTCATCAAACCTCATACAAGTACACATGCATGCATGGCGTCTGTCTCTTCTGACAACGCATGTCCGCCTCATTCCTTCATGTGCGAGACACCTGCATTTGGTAGCTGTTGGCATGGTCGTGCTACGTTTCCGATTTCTTTACGAGAAAGCTCCCCACACGGCTGAACATCCCTCTCATATGGCGACCTTCGTCCAAAATGTATGTCTGCTTGTCCTCGTTCCCAGGCATGAGATATATGATCGCTGTCTCGCAAAGACTCACATTGCATCGATCCTCCGCCACATCATGGCCCCCGCTGATCCAACGTACCCTCTCTACCCCATCGCCTGCTTCCTGGCTTCAGTGATGCTGCTTCTCGTACTCTTGACGAGCTTCATCCGACAAAGCTGGAACCTCGGTGTTGCCTTCCTGTGTTTCTGGCTATGCCTCGAGAACCTGACTGCATCAGCACTTTGGGAAGCGGTCTGAGGGCGTCTGAGGGCGTCTGAGATCGTCTGAAATCGTCTGATGGGTCTGAAACGTCTGAGGATTTCGCTTCAGAGCCTTCAGACGCTCAGAGCCCTCAGAGAATGGGCTCCACTCCGGAGTAGTGTAGATTACCTCTAAACCTGTATGTAGTGATTAGTCAATGCAATGTCAGTTGTTTTCCGTGCGATATAGCGTACCTGTAGGAGGGAAACGGGGTACGACGAGAAGAGCGGCAGCCGCGTGGGAAGGAGGCCCTGGCTATGATTTATTTGATGCCATAAACTTCTGTGCCGTGATGGCTCAACGGCTAACGCGCCAAGTTATTTT